ATCAATATCACTGGCGATATTCTGCTATAACATGTGAAGTAAAGAATAAAACAGTAAAGCTCAACTTTCATACACGTAAAACCTTTCAAATTTCAAGTTCTGCACGCTGGAATTGAAGCGGAGTTAAGTTGGGCTGTTCTTCCTACTCCGTGCGCGCTCCCGACGAGAGGATACAAATTTTCGCAGGGATAACTACCTTGGCACGACACTGGACTGGCAGCCTCTCACACAACATGATCGTGTTAATTCTTGTAAATAATTGTGCCGAAAGAACAGCCGCGTGTTGGTTATCTCGACTTTCCATCTAATATGGTGGTTTTCCCACGATGCACTGCGCCCGAGGTAAACAATTGACGTCACTTGGCAGAGACCGATTTCTGTCAGAGCCGCTCAGACCCCCACATACCAGCGGTGCACTGTCAATAGGATCCCATTCAACGGGCTTGTTTGTCAGACATGGTCGTTTTTAAAAAGGACAACTGCTAAGTAAACAGGTCCTCACAATGTAACAGTGAATATTAGACACTGAATTTTTTTTTTTTTTATGTAAGAGGAAAAATGTAAATGGAAAAATCAGAGCTTTAAATAAAACTCAAGATTTGTACTTTTTTATGTTGTGTAATTTTCTTTTTCTTCGAATTGATATTATAAAACTCGTATTGAAAAAAGTATCATTCAGGAACCGGTATCGAAGTGAAGGTATCGGTATTGATACTGGAACCGAAAATTTTTGAACAATACCCAGCCTTATTTAAGCCTCTCCCTGCTCTCCTGACCAGGAGGAAATCAGAAAGTGAAGAGATGTTTCCCAATGACTCACCTGATGACTTCTGCATCTGAGGACCAAATATGGTTATTTCCTGAATGAACAGCCAGGGCCCATCAGAATCATTCAGACTACTCAATTCAGATCAGTTTATGTATATAGCACCGATTCACAACACATATCACCTCAAGGCACTTTACAGAGGAAATTCAACCAGATCATGCAATCAGATTGGTTCAAAGTTTTCTACCTAAAGAAAACCTGTTGCTGTAGCTTAGATATTTGTTTCTCTCTACATTCTGGCAGAGTGTGGCTGTTTGCTTACTGTATTCATGCTGTACGTTCATGCTGTAATTCTGATTAGATGTGCCCTAGTCTCTATATGTCAAATGATATCTTTATGAATATTGTGTTTTTAAGGATCATCTGCATCCTCTTGCTGTGTTGTCTGAAGATGTCCAGTGTGTGGCACAGCTGACATATCTCACTGTTATGTTTGGTAAACTTAATGAGCTTAACCATCGTAACAAAACAAAGAATTCACCAAAAAGCTCAAACTATAGAAAATGTGATGAAGGGCATGTTAGTTGTTTCCTACTTGATTCCCATCTTGCTGCAACTGATGCTGGCAGGGATCCAGTGGTCAGACACATCTGTTCATCCTCTCACTGATTTTAATCAGTATTTTCAGGACAATGAACAAACAGTGAATTGGATGAGGGACCCGTTCACTGTAAGAGTAGCAGCAACCTTCCCACAAGGCTGCAAGGACATCTGATTGATTTTTCTGCTAATGGTGAGCTGTACATAACATTTGCTGGAAAGACATTGACAGAGTTTTGGTGTGATGTGGAGAAAGAATATCCTGGGCAGTAGTACAATTTTAATAGGCAACTGACTCAAAAATCCAAAATACTGATAACCAAAAATCAGTTTACATCAGAGAAAACTCACATAGGAAGCCAGAGACGAGGGAAGAACAAAACAACAAACAAGCACGGAGTGACTGTAGAGGTGGTGTATATATGGGAGACTGAACCAAGACAGGCTAATCAGCGTGGCTGGACCAACTAGGAGGAAGTCAAGGTGAAAGAGAAAAGCACAAGGGGGCAACGGAGAGTAACTATAGAACTAAACTGACAAAAAAACAACTACAAATACAGAGAAACTAAGAATAAACCCAATCAGACACTATCAGAGCTCATCAAAGACACCGAAACTCAGATAATAAAAACACTTAGTTATTTAGTGTTCAATGTTTTGTTCCGAATTGGTCAAGTTTAGATGTGTTTATAGTGAACTTATTCAGAAGATGTTAAAAAAGGTATATATATATCTGTATGGGCTGGAAGTCCCAAGGTCAAAATGGAAGACACCTCCTAAGGTAGTTGAGAATGACGGAGCTAAGATCCTATGGGACTTAAAGATCCAGACTGACTAACAGGTGATGGC